TAGTGATTCAGCAACTTTGTTATGCTGTGCTCACTACAAGTGTAGTTACTATCACTGTACAGTGCTATTACAATATTGTGTAACTATATTTAATATTAATGTCAGGCATTTTTCCTAGTTTTTATTATAATAGGAACATTATGTAATATCACTTGCCACATCTTTATAGACAGCCTAGAGACAATACATCTCATGAGTTCTTTCTCACAGTGTCTATCCATAGGAGCTTATGATGTAATTCAATAAGGAGATGTAGAGGGTTCCACTTATCTGGCCTCAACACAGATTAGATTTCAAAGTATCTGGAAATCTGTAAATTGGATGGATTAGGCTTCCTGTTAAACATAACAGGCAGAATACACATGTTTACCTCTATGTCCTCAAGTAATTTTACCAAAACAAAAATAAACTAATAAACCAGTCATAACAAAGGGGATAGGAGACAAGAACAAAATGTTGGAAGACGGGAAACAGACATTAGCAGAGCAGAGAAAGGTGACTTCCAACCATCTGCAAGAGACAGAACTGACAAGAAATAACCCTTTTTGTCCGGAAGAAAGCTCAGAAATTGGAGGCAGAATCATGTACTTCTGAAAACAGAAGAAGGTGGTGAAAACAGAAGAATTAGTTGAAAATCTGTGAAAGGAACAGTTAGATTCTCAAGTCCCTTCTCTAAGGCCCAGGAGCAAGGAGGCTGTCTCCCCTGATTCTGCCAGAGACCTGGAAGTTCACACTCTGCAGTTGCTGAATCTCAAATGTACTGAACTTGTGTACTCCAGGAATACTGAGCATAGGTTTGGGGTAAAACTTGCATATTGAGTAATGAGACTTCCCAAGTCCTCTTTCCCTACTTGGCACCTGAAATGGTTAACAACTGGCAACACAGGCAGAAACGCAATTTCTCTCAGGGAAACTGTTCTGGCCAAGAGAAAAGTCCCATAAATGCTGACATTTGACACATGCCTCCACAGAATGCCTGGGTCCAAACATCAGCCTCCTAAATGAGGACCATCAGTCCATAAGCTCTGCCTTTTCACAGAAGAGCACCCAGTCAGCTTTTTAGTACTTCTGTCTTAAGTATGAGTGAATGGCAGATGGAGGAGGAAATCTTCTAACAGAAAGATGAAGGCTAAAGCAATAAAAAAGTGAAAAAAGGAGGGGCACCTGAGTGGCTCAGTGGGTTAAAGCCTCTGCCTTCGGCTCAGGTCATGATTTCAGGGTCCTGGGATGGAGCCCCACATCGGGCTCTCTGCTCAGCGGGGAGCCTGCTTCCTCCTCTTTCTCTCTGCCTGCCTCTCTGCCTACTTGTGATCTTTGTCTGTCAAATAAATAAATAAAATCTTAAAAAAAAAAAAGAAAAAAGGAACATATAGGTGAGATAGAGTGCAGGACCAGTAGAAGAAAAGTTAAAGAAATTCCCTTTGGGAGAGAAAAGATGGTGAATCTATGACATAAGAACATGATGATATGGATGGAAAAAGAACACTTAGAGAATAAGAAAAAAAACTTACCAAAAAAAAAAAAAAAAATGGTGGCAGAAACAGAAAATTGGATGGAAATGTTGGCATATAAAATAGAGGAAATTTCACTGAAAGTAGAATAACATGCCAAAGAGATGGAAACAGGAAAAGAGTAAACATTAGAGAATGTTTAGAAGTCAAACATTTATTTAACAAAAGTTCTAGAGAGAACAGAGAAAACTGAAGAGAAGAATTACCAAAGGTAATAGGATAAGGAAATTTCCCAGCTAAAGGGCAGATGGCAGACGGAAAGGCCCACCGAGTGCCTAATATTATAATGAAAAAAGGCTAAATCAAGGCAAATCCAAGATATTCCAGAAGATTTGGGTTAAAAAGTTCAGAAAATTCCAGAGAGAAAACACAAAGGAATCGATGCCTTTGGTCTTCTCAGCATCAACTCTGGAAACTAGAAGACAATATAGTGACACCTTTTTTCTTTTTTTTAAAGAGAGACAGAGTGTGGGATGGGGGAGGACAGAGGGAGAGAATCTTGTGGAGACCCCCTGCTGAGATGGAGTGTTTCCCCTCCCCCACCCCCCCCCCAGGACTTCATGTCATGGACCCTGAGAGCATGACGTGAGCCGAAATCAGGAGTTGGATGTCCAACCAACTGAGCCACCAGGAACTCCGTGATTCCCTTAAAATTATGAAGGAAATGATTTCTAACCTAGAGTTCCACACCCCACAAACTGTTGAGTGTGAAGATAGATTAAAAACACTTTCCAACACATAGTGTCTTCAGGAATGTGTAATCCTACCTCCAGAATAAACTGAAATTATACTCCACTGAAATAATGGGGGAAAAAACGAAAGAGGACAATATGGGATTTAGGAAACAAGAGGTTTGCATAGGAATGATCCTCAGGATGTTAGGGAAACAATCCTAGGATGACCATAGAGCCATGAGCTGTTAAAGTCAGCCCAGATCACAGCAGGGGATGGAGGGCTCCAAGAGAGATATCTCCAAGAAAATGAGAAACAGAACTTATAGATTACCTGACATGACTAATTGTACTGAGAGGAGGAAAATTTGGGTTTCAATTTATGACTGGTATATGGAATATGATGAAATGATTTTAAAAATGGCAAGTTTTAACTGTGGAGGAAAAAGAAATAATTGCATAACAAGACAAAAGTAAAAATTCAGTCATAGTACACTGCATGGCTCAGCTGTGAACAATATTTGCATAGTCGTAACACAACAAACATTAAATGTCTATTTAATAAAATTGTAATATAAATAGAGCAGGAGATTAGGAGTAAGAAAAGTGTATGTGTAGTTAGCATAAGAGCTAAATTTTCTTTTTTTCTAGTAGGAAATCAATAAAGTATGTCTAAAAATGAAGAAGGAGCTGCTAAGGGTATAAAAATTAATATGATTTATATTAGCAGAAACAGATACAAGAATTCAAAATTTGGGGTGGGGTTTGGGAGTGGGAAGGCTAGGTAGGGCATTGTTGTCTTTTGTAATAATCCTTGCAGAACAAAGGCTATATGCATGTATTATTTTGATTTTAGAGGGTGAATTGCATATGTTCTAGAAATACTTACATTGAAGGCACAATGACTATTCCTCAATACCCTATTAATTATTTCAATACATACAAATGGGCTATTTCACATCATAGCTAATCCACTGCCTGGAAAACATGAAGTAAGACTTAACATTTAGAGTGAATTTTATTCAGACATATTACAATGAATCCTTTTATTTGTTAGCATCATCATATTTACTTTCATTATTAAGGGCAAGTGTATACAAATATTAGTTATTTTAGGGCTAGCTCAGTTCTCAACTGGGGAAGATTCTTCCCTTCAGGGAACATTTGGCAAAGTCACAACTGGGGGACAGGGGCAGCCACTGGTATCCAGTGGCTACAAGCCAAAGATGCTGCTGAACATCCTACAATGGACAGGACAAACCCCCAGGAATTAACAAGTCCTCAATGTCAGTAGCGCCATGGTTGAGAAACCATGCTCTGAGTCTTTGAGGATTATTTCATCAGAACGCTAAACATAAAGATTGATGATATGCAAACATTTTGCAATTTAGGACTGACTCAGCTAAATAGCTTGGTGCAGGGCTGAAGCAGTCTGACTGTGAAATACATCTTTGGAAATGAGAATGGTAAGGTAAAGACAAAAGGTATAATAAATGATAACAATAATAATACACAGTGCTTTGGTTACCTCAATAATCTCTTTCATCCATGGTTCCTAGGGCATTTATAGACTAATAATAACTACTCTGGTTCTCATATACTACCTTTTATCCAAGGATCTCAGGCACCTTCACAACACTCTCACAATGTAGGAAGTATCATTATCCCCATTTTATATGTAAGTAAACAGAGGCACAAAAGTTAAGCAACTTGCCCAAAGCCACAGGAGTCAGTAGTAGCCAATTCCTGAGTCAGAGCCTATTAATACTAAGAGAACTAGTCCAAAAGTGTGTGATAAATTCATGTGGCATAAGTGTTATTCTAGTTTACTCTCTGCCATAATTTTCAAATTTTCAGTGTATTCAGTACTTTATCTTTTTCGCCTGCCTTCTCTCTCCCCACACTCCTCCCCCACTTCTTAGAGACAAAAAATTGTTTGATATCCTGTTAACAAGAGGATATTTACTGAGTGTCTTCCTTGAACCAAGCATAGTGTTGATTCTTATAATAGCTTAAAAATACATGCTGCTGTTACTGATTTTATAGTAAAGAAAGCTGAGTTTCAGAGAATTTAAACAACACCTCCAAGATCTCTTAGCTCCTTATGAATTTGTGTTTAGGCACACCGAATCCTCTCTCCACTGTAGCCTGCAGGCCCCTCCAGGTGAAAATCCTTTGGTAAGTTAAAAAGCATTAACGTGAATCTGTCTAATGCCCAACCCTCCTACTACCCCCTTAAAACTCAGAAAACAAAACTCTAGTGAATCTGTAATTGAGGAATTTCAGGTGGCACACCCTGGATGGTACCAGTTAGGCTCAGCCTTTGAAACCAATTCCCAAGGAAGGCCTTTAATTTTCTAAGGATTTTTCCAGAGTTCTCTCCCTGCTACCCACATGTTCACCCCAACAGCCAGACCAAAGAGAGAACTGTGTGACTTTCCCTCTGAGAAATAAATAGCATGTGAATCACTTTCTCCCAATCTCATTCTTGTGGCAGGCACACACTGACTGCCCACCCACCATGTGCCACCTGGGCAAAACAGGAATACTAAGAAGGAAGAAAGTTTTATGTTAGGTAAGAGTGTGACTCAGGGCTCGCCTACATTTTTTTTTTTTTTTTCTCAAAGTGGTGACCTGGCAATTGTAGGCTGTGATAATGATGTGCCCTGGCTCCTCTTGTAATATAGTGAGATCTGTCTCTTGAGGTGTATGATGGTGGCAGTCCACCCAGCCCCGATCCAGAAATGTTAGATGACTTGCATCTGAGGATAAGATATACCCTATGACACGTTTAAGGTAGAAAAATAGAGTCAATCACCGCCCCAGGTCACATTAGATCAGCATCAACGCAGTTTTGGTATCTTGGTATCTTAAATTCTCTCTCTGTAAAGAAGAGGTGTAGAGAAGGATTAAAAGGACAATTCCAAATAGGATTCGGATGCCAATGCAATACACTGTAAAAACGAGTTTTTCCTTTTCTCTTGCAAGCCTAAAATAGTAAACCCTTGATAGTTCACTGATAATTTAAGCCCCTCCTTCGTTCAGCCCACCCTTTCACCCAGAAACCACAGGCTTTGCTCAGAGAGAAGGGTCTGGTTTGTTTCGGTTTTGTTGTTGTTGTTTTTTCCAACTCTTCTGCCTGCCACTCTAGTACCTCTGAAGATGGGGCAGCGACCAGGAAAAGTGACGCGCGACTGTTTCCCCATCCCAGCCAGTCAGGGCTGAATCATCCCAACTTCATTACATTTTCCCCCTCGGCCAGCCCCATTCTTGATTTTCCCTCGAAGAATATATCTTGTACTTAAAAGGAAGAGTGGTGGGAGACAGAGAGGCGGAGAGGCGGAGAACAGGAGCGGGGTGCAGGGCGTGGAGGGCTGTCCCGCTCCGAGTCAGCATTGCCGCGAGGCCCGCCGCTGCAGGGCCGCGAGCCCAGGAATGTGCGGTGGGACAGGCGGGCGCGGGGCGGGCTGCAGCGGCGGGCTGGACCAGGCGGCGCGCACCTGAGCGCCGGGGGCGGGGCGTCGGCGGGCACGACCCCCCGCACTGCGCGCCGCGCCCCTCGCGCGCCGTCTCGGCCCTTTCCGCCCGCGCTTCGGCGCCGCTCGGTTCCCCTCCCGCCCCTCGCACCCTCCCTCTCTCCCTCCCTCTGGCCCGGCGGAGCCGTGAGATCTGGCGGCGAGTTTGCGGCAGCTCCTTCCGCGCCGCCGGGCGGGCTCACCTGGACGCCTACTCCCAGACCCCACGCCTCGCCCTCCACCAAAACTCTTCTCAGGTAAGGGGCTGCTTGGGCCGCCCGAGCTCGACCCTCGAGGCGGCTGGACAGCTGGTGTGTGTACCCGTCCCGCCTCCTCAGCGAGTCGCCCAGGGGCTTCGCGCCTCGCCCAGGAACGAAGGTGGGGACCTTGGCCCACGGTGGCCGGAGCGAGGGGCAGGAGGTCCGACCGGCCGACAGGTGGAGGGATCTGGCCCTGGTCCCCCGACCGCCGCAGGCGCAGACCCCGGTGGGGATGGGGCAGGCGGGCCGGGGGTGGGGACAGGCCCTTTTCTCCTCCCCTCGAGGGGCGGCGATCGTCCAGGCCGGCCGTGTAGGTGCGTCGGAGAAACTTTGCAGGGTGGGGACTCGGCAGCCACTTGCCGGCGGGGACTGGGCAGAGCGCTCTGTGGGGGGCGGGGGGCTCCGAGGCGGGCCGGCGGGCAGACCCTCCGGCCGGGCGAGGGACCTAAACGCTTCTCTTCCCCGCCCCCTTTTGTGTTTCCCCTCAGACTCACCGGCTACCGGGGGAGCCTCGGCCGCCCCCACGCCCGGGGGTCGTTCCCTTGCATCCTCCCGGCCTCGGGAAGGCAAAGGCGGCGGCGGCGGCCGGAGCGGGGCTGGGCGGCCTGAGGTGAGAGCCCGGCCGGCCCCGCTGGGAATATGGCGACCGGTGGCTACCGGACCAGCAGCGGCAGCACCACAGACTTCCTGGAGGAGTGGAAGGCGAAGCGCGAGAAGATGCGCGCCAAGCAGAACCCCCCGGGCCCGGCTGCTCCGAGCGGGGGCGGCAGTGACGCGACCGGGAAGCCCCCGGCGGGGGCTCCGGGCACCTCGGCCGCGGCCGCAGCCAACGAGCTCAACAACAACCTCCCCGGCGGCGCGGCCGCACCTGCCGCCCCCGGCTCTGGGGGCGTGAACTGCGCCGTGGGCCCCGCGGCGCTGCCCCGGTCCACCCCCGGCTCCCGGCGGCCCGAGGACGAGCCGCCCCCCACGGCCACCGCCGCGGTCTCCGCCTCAGGGGCACCGCCGGCCCGGGGCGACGAGGAGGAGCGGGACGGCGCCCCGGAGAAAGGCAAGAGCTCGGGCCCCAGTGCCAGGAAAGGCAAGGGGCAGATCGAGAAGAGAAAGCTGCGGGAGAAGCGTCGCTCCACCGGCGTGGTCAACATCCCCGCGGCAGAGGTGAGCGGGCGGGGGCGGCGGGGGGAGCTCCCCCGGCTCTCGGGCCGCCGAGTTTCCCCGCTCTAGCCCGTCCGGTATTACTTATCCTTTCACCGGGTTAGGCAGGCAGGGGGTGATGGAGTTTTACTCGGTGCTTCCTGGGAAGTTCCCCAAACCCCAAGTGGGACACGTGCTTTTCAGGCTTTCTGGCTGAGGTCTCAAGATTCAGGATCCTTCTCTTGAGCGGTGGAAAGACAAAACTCCAAAACTTGCCCACCTAGGGTTGTTTGTTTTCACTTAATCAGTTAAAAAAATTGATTAATGGCGATTACGACATACAAAGTTTGGTTTCCCACGTGTCTATTTGAACTTATCAGATTGTTTATCTCTTTTCTCTTGACAGTGTTTAATAGCACCTGTAAAAAAACGTGTCCTTAGCACTATCCAGCACAACCTTTTCAGTGTATCCAGATGAGAATATCCAAATAAAGATAATACTATTTTATCTATAAACCAGCTTTGGGGAAGAGCGCTCCTCAGCCCCCCACCCCCCTCCTCCCACCCCGCAGTTAATTCTGAGTGATAGGACAATAGGAGGAAAGTTGTAGTAATCCATAATTCTTTTTGCTAAGATGATCTTTCCTTGTTTTTAAATATTTGGCTCTGTATATTGCGGGAAAAGAGTTGTGGTAGGGGTTTTGTTTTTGTTTTGTATTTTTGAGTTGTCTCAACATTCCTGCAGGCAGCAGCATCTTCCTATTAGAGTGAGTGGTGAAACATTTTTACTTAATGTGTAACCGCACCTATCTCTGTCCTCAAAAAAAAAAAAAAAAAAAAATCCTAAACAATTTTGGTTACTTTAATAGAAGCGCACTGGTTTTGGGAAGTGATTACACAACTTTGTTTCACCCAAAGTAGTTGCATCTTTTTCTCATTGGCTTTTTAGGTTTTTTAATTTTTTAATTTTTTACATTTTTTTACTCGTGGTTTTCTAATTTATTCAACTTTGATGACCAGTAAATAATAAGAATATACTAACTTTAATTGCGATTTAAGTAAAAGCAATCGCAGTAAGTTAGGGTGTGTGTCAAGCATACACAGCTTTTTAAGTGTTAATATGTTTTCCATACCTGGAAAATTACGGTTTGTCTTTGAAGGATATATTTTTATATGCATGTTTCAGACAGATTTTTATCAGCCAGCAGAACTGTCCTCTGTGGTTTGCTACTTGCACAAAAGATCTGTTATTCATTAAATTGCTTTAAAAGGAATTTCATGAGAGTGGTAATCAAATTTCTAGGTTTTTTTTTTTTTTTTTTTTTTTAGTTAAAAATATGAAGATTAAGGGGAAACTAAAGACAAGGCTTTGGAAAAGTTACATTCCTCAACTTTATTTTTAAAAGTAGCTGATCGTCCAAATAAAAGAATTAGTCATTTCAATCTTTTCCTCATTGTTCATCTGACAGGGGTCTTATTTTGGGAAATATTTTGGCAGATGTTAAACTTCATTTTTGTCTGGCTGCTTATGCTAGAATTGTTACTTCTCAAGTACCTTTTTTGTTTTTGTTTTTAACAAGGGTAATGTTTACTGGGGGAAATAAGTGTGGTGTATCTTATGAGATCCTAAGAAACATCCTTTGTTAATACTGCTGCTTTGGGTTAGAGAACATAGTGCTGAGAATGTAGATGACTCCCCACTACAATTGAGTCTAATACTCTGGAATGTTTTTTCGTTTGGGTGTTGGCAACTCCTAAATTTAATCTTCCTTAAAAACAAACAGCTCAGGGTACCATTTTTTGTCTGTGGAATTTGAACCTTTTTTATTGAATAGGGAATTGAAGACTGATCTCTTTTTGTGGTAACTATGGTTCTATCTGTTGCTGGTGTAGGACGCAACAAAACATGGTAATGTTTTCCTGCAATAGCTAATTAGCAGGCATACTTCTTAAGGGCCTTTTCATTTTCATTTAAAACAACTTAAGTCATTCAGATTATTTTAATAGTGGTAAATACATGAAACAAAACTTTAAAGGTGGGCCATCTTTATATCTTTAGGTTGTTGTAGGTGATTGTTTTTTTAGAATTGTGCACTATTCATTTCTCGTAGTAGTTTCAACATTGAGAATGTCAGTTGCTGTGGAGTTTCTTGTGTAATACAACTTAGCAATCCTGGTTTAAGAAGTCATAATATTTTAAAATTTTTCAGGTTTGCAAATATAATAAAAACAAAATCACCAGTGTGTCATTTAGGTGTGGACTTGTCCTCTTATATAACGTTGAGAAAGACTTTTATTTTCAGGCAATATTCTCAGCCAAGTTTATATTAGAAGAGTAGCATGTAACTTGTATGCAAAAGCCTATTTTAGTGGTTGATAAACATTAAGCTCCTTCAAGAAGTATTTATTAAACATCTGTGTGACACATTGTGACTTTCATTAACTTATTTTAGTAATTACAGAGTATTATAAAATTGTTGTAAAGATACCTGACAACAGCTGAAGATACCACAAATAGCTAGAAGATAGTTTCAGTGAGGAAGTGTAGATGGGGATGGGAAGCTGGAGGGGGGAGATACTGCTTGTAATAATTTTAATAAAAAGTGCAAATATTCAGTTGCTGGACAAACTTTAGTTCTCATTTACTGAGGTAAAGATTATTTTAAAAATGTTTTTTTCTAAATTTTTACTTTATTTTTGGGGGCAGTAGCCCAAATTGGATAATTTGGATGTGACATACCTCCTGCCAGTCATTTTGGTATATGTTTATTAGAACAGTCAGATGTTTATTACATGTCTGTTTTCAAGGCACTATTGTAAGTGCTGTAGAAAAAGAAGAGTAAGGCAGTGTATATTCTCAAGGAGCTGAACTATAATCCAGGAGGAAGGATAAGGCATAATTATATGAAAAAACTTAAGTACTGAGTTAACAATTGAAAAGCCATCTTAACACAGCAAATTGTTTATTAGAAATATTTTGTGTTTAGGGGCGCCTGACTGACTCGGTGGAGCGTGCAACCCTTAATCTCACTGTTGTGAGTTCAGGCCCTCATTGGGTGTGGAGATTACTTAAAAAAAAACTATATATTTTGTGTTTAGAGGAAAGTGATGATTGGGCTGTGAGAAGCTACTGAGGATGAGGGTCTTGAGCTGAGACTTAAATTTCTGTAGTTACATATTTAAACATATATTCACACATACATGTATATACCTGTTTGTATAGTATTTTAAATATCAGAGTGCAGTGGTTCTTAATTGTATGCAAATTAAAATCATGTGAGGATCTTAAAAAAATGCTCCCCATGGAGAATACTTGCCCTCTCCCTCCCTGACTCCGTTTTGATTTAATGGGTCTGGGGTGGATACCAGGCATTAATATTTTGATAAACTTCACATGTGATTCTGCTGTGAGTCGGGGTTCAGAACAATTGGGCTGCAGTCTGGGGATAGAGAAGTGAATAGGACACAGGCCTTGTCCATAGGGCCTCTCAAGTAATATAGGGAATTGTGGTAAAGTACAGCGTTAAGTACAGCCTGTTTCCTAAGCAGGGTATCTAACTTGTGGAGGGGATAGTTGAGAAAGGATTGCTGGACAATACCACTCCAGTTTCCAGAGTGCTTATGAAGATATAATAATTCAATAGGTCGAGGTCAACTGGCACTGAAGTTTTGATTTAAATATAAAGTTAATATATATCAAAACTTACTATTTTCATAGTGATTGGCTAGAGTGCTTTATGTGTTGTTTTAATTCATGCTCACAGCAATCCCAGGTGGTAGTTATAGTTTCTCTTTTTATCCTCATTTCCAGAAGACAAAATGGAGGCTTAGAGAATTTAAATGACTCGGGATCACATGGAAGGTGAATAAGTGGTAGAGCAATATTTAAATGGTTTTGTGTGTGTGTGTGTGTGTGTGTGTGTGTATGTGTATGTGCATTTTGGGAAAGTGTTTTTAGGAATTAACCTACTCTGGGGCCACCTGGCTGACTCAGTTGGTAGAGTGTGTAATTCTTAATCTCGGGGTCATGATTTCAAGCCCTATATTGAGTGTGAAGCCTACTTAAGATTAAAAAAAAAAAATAAAAAAAGAACCTATTTTGCATTATTTTGTTTATTTCCCTATAGCTTTTTATTTTTTTTCTCTCTTTATTAGAGGTTCTCCTAAATAATTTAAACAACTGATTGGGGAAAACAGTAAAAGGAACTGAATAGAAATAAAGGTCAAATTTGTAGACTCAGACATTGCTTCTGACTCTAATTTATAGTTGGCTTGGCAAGATTTTGAACACCAGGTCACCAGCAAAATCTGTTTTGGCTAGAAGTCAGAAAATGTGTCTTTGTTTTTACTTAAGTGATACGTTGTTTTTCTGTCAAGGTGGGGCTAAACACCTGCCCTGTAGTTTGAAGGAGCATGTGATATATAGAAAGCACTTTTAAGTGAGCACAGTTTTAAGTTACAATTATTTAATGTATTTATTGAGCATTATGTAGGACAAGTTCTACTTAGTAAACCATGTAAATCCAGGTAGATTAAGAAATGCCTTTCGGTATCCCCAGTATGTTCCAGACTGTCTACCTTTCTATGTGATGAGTCAGAAGAGGAACTAATAGTGACTCAGGTTGGGGAAAATTGAACTTGTGAATAGGGTAGATATAGCAAAAACATTAAGACTGCTTAATAAGATATGAAGCCCAACTTCCCTAAATGTTTGAGCTCATTGATGAAGTAAATTAAAATATTAATATTATTAGGATTTGTAAAGAGTCATCTAAGCTGAGATGCCTTTTTCTATAAAAATAATTATGTAATTAAAATAGATAACATTTATGGTGTGCTTATTAAGTGCTAGGCACTGTTCTAAGCACTTCACATGTATTGGTGCATTTAATTCTCACTGCGACCCTATGGGAAGATGGAGGAGAGCAAGTAAGTATACTTGCTTCGAGTCACAAATGTGGTATGGAGCAGAGTAGAGATTGTCTGCCTTTAAACCATCTTACTGTATTTCAGTGTATTGATAC